TTACAAATAAAGTCTAAGGCTATTTTGGCTTTAAGTTTTGTGAAGATTTGGTTTCTGTTAAATTTGTTTATAAAGTGCACGTTATGTAGCCTTTTGTATCTTTCTACTGCTATTTGTAATAGCGAATTGAATTCCTTTTGATGTTGTGGTTGGGTTTCTTTGTTTTTTGTAAATGATTGAAAGAAAGCTAAGCCCAAGTATTCCAATTTTGTTTTAATTGCATTTGGTAGATTATATTGAGTTGGATTCACTTAGATTTTGTGTTGGAAGAATTTTAAAAATAGCTCAGATGATAAAAAGGCATTAATAATTGTATCATAGTCCCAGACTATTGTATCGAAATTTAGTGTATGTGCTTTTGCTATTGCAATAGTAACAGAGTTACACCAAGTAAGTGAGTGATCATTTTTAGTATATTTCTTTTTTGGAAGGTTAGAGGTAAGTACACTACTATACATCTTCTTGGGAGGTGTAGAAGATTCTGTAGTTACATTAGATTGAGTATCCATGTGGTCGTCTATGTCTTCTTTTGGTTGGGTTTGTTGTATAGAGTTGTTAATGATTGGTACTTTTTGGACTGAGCTCCAGGGGTTATCTTGAATGAGATCCTGGAATGGATCAGGTGTGCTGTGATAATCGGTTACCAAACTTGTAACCTAGGATCCTAAGGTATTTGTGTTGTTTTCCATGCTTGTTTGTTTGTTTGGATTATTTCCCATACTATTTTGTTTGTTTTGATTGTTTATCATGTTTGTTGGTTTGTTTTGATCAAGTGATATCATTGATATTTTTTGACAGGGGTTTGCTAAATTTCCCACTTTGGGTTGAATTTTTTTGTGCGATATGTGGTGGAGTGGTAGTAGTATTATAGGTGGTGTTTTTTCCATCTTTGGTTTTAGACATTGTCTTTTTCTTTTTTAGTGGTAGTGGGTTGTCTAGTATAGTAGGATTTTGTTCCTTGTGTTGGTTATCTGAGATCCCAGCGAGATCTATCAGGGTGGGATTAGGGGACGTTATCAGAACCAAAAAGGGTTTTAAAGCTTCGTTGGTAGAAAGTAGTATGTTTCTATCTCTCTTCAGCTTTGTATGGATATTGTTAGGGTCTGTTAAGTAATATTTAGAGTATCTAAGGGCCAAAAATATATGAAATATTTGTATTCTTCTATTCGAAAGTATTTTTTCTCTTAATTTTTTGTTGTTTTGATAATCTACGAGAAAGAGTTTTTTTTACTTTAAAGCTTCTACATTCTTATATGGCAATATTTTTGACATTACAGATGGGCACATTGCCAAAAATGAAAAATCCATTCTAGAATAATCCGTAAAATTTGATTGGCCTATGCTAATCTTATTGGGCTCTTTTTTAGCTGAAAATTGTGGCTTTTCGTAATAGTCAATTGCGATATATAATCGTTTAAACTAAGAGTAAAGAACCTCTAGTTTTGTGATCTTTTGTGATCTTTTTGTGATCAGCACTCTATAAAAAAAACAGTACAAGGTCTAAAATTTAAAAAAACTCTTTTTTTATATTAATTTATAGCTTTTTTTTACATAATAGCCCATTAGAATCACCAGAATTCAAGATGTCGCGGGCTCAACAAAAATCAAAACCTGAGGACCTTCCTTGCATATTTTCTACAATAGCTAGTAAATACAAGGATTTTGGTTTAAGTCTTTGTGATACAAGAAGATCACAGACGTGGCGAAATGCTAATAGTCCAAAGGTAGCTGAGCGGCTTGCATTATATCATAATTTTATACCAAAACTTGTTGATCTTTCTTTGAATTCTCATTCTGTTTGTCAAACGCATTATAACGAGGTTATAACATATAATGATTTTATCGAAATCTTTTAGGTAATTTGAATTTAGATCGCACAGATCATGAAAATAAGAGAACTCGAATCGATGCTAGTTCTACCTCTGAAAAGATAACTGCCGAGAAAGTTGAATGTATGTTACATCTTACTAACGCAATTACTGAATTGCAGCAGCAAGTAGAAGATCAAAATCTAGAGATATTAGAATTGAGAAAGCAAATAAATGGCTATTGTGAAGAGATTATTCGTTTAAAGAAATCATATCAAGAAAAGTGTAAGGAAATGTAGATCTTACTGAACAATGGAACTCTCGGCATTGTAATCAGCATAAGCGTATGCAAGAAGCTATTAATATTGCATTGCTTGAGCGTAATTCTTTATATGAAGATATTAATTTTCTTATAAGAGATAACAATAGGTTTTCTTTAGAAAACCTATTAAGTTATGCACCACAAACATGGCTAAGTAAACGTAACCAAGTTATTGTAAAATTCATTAAAACACTAATCTATAATAATTCTAATATAGATTCTTTAAGTGCTGAGAAGATTTTTAAAAGGGCAATGGCTGTTGATTTAATTTATAGATCTAGGCATAAAAAATACATGTCAGAAATAAATCTTGCAGCGTCGGCTATAAAATATTCTATCATGAGATCTAAAACTATTGTTAATATTGACAATCATATCTCGTGTTCAAGAAGTTATTTTCATTTCCAAGAATGGTTAGATAAATTGTCAAAAAAAGAAAAAGCATTACCTCAAGGGCTTTTATTTATAGCATTCGATAACGAACAAAAAGGGCAGAAAAACTATCTTAATCGAGGATCAAACACAGTAACATATAACACTGTTACTAGTTTTGTTGCTTTTAACATGAAATTAGAAAATTTTATTCAACATACTAATAAGCCTTGGTTATCTAATTTTGATATTAGGCTTTAATACGAGAATCTTCTTACAATTATGCCTGAAATACAAGAAGCAATAAATGAAGAATTACATAATTATCTTTCTGAAATTTTAAGCTTGTTACTCGAAGAGAAGTTGTCTACTACTAATAATATCGATATTCTAGCTTCTAATATAGGATCGAATAACCATTGTAACAAATAATGTCTTAACTGTGGTGAACAAAATATCGATAATAGAAAGCAAGTTTGTTCAAGATATTCCACTCGTCTACCTAAGTTATCTGAACTACAACTAGAACAAGCCTCTGAGTTAGAAAAAAATGTTACCGATTCTCCAATTATCTTTAAACCATATAGTATTGCGGAACCTAAATCATCTACTATACCAAGAATAAGTGTTACTCAAAAATGATCACCCGATATAGGAGTTAAAATTCCAGAAATTTTTATTCCTAATCCTTTTAACATTAACCCTAACTCAATCACTAATGTTGAAGAAGTTCTTCATCATATAGAGAAAATTTCAGGAATTGAAGACAGAATACGTAAATGGGTAGTTGTTACATGTGATGGTGTCCCATATTACTATGTAACTAAAATTAAGCATAAATTTTCATGGTTAATTCTCATTCCTGGACAATTGCACAAAGAGATGAATATGCTTAAAGCATATGTTGAGCTGAATTAGTAAGCTTGTATTATATTTATTTATGTTAAGAATAACTTTTGATCAAAATCGTGTATGAGATGTTAAATACAGTTTAAGTTTTTAATTTTATAGTATTTTGATTATGCATTTTCATCTGATCAAAAAAATTGATATAATCATTGTCAATTTCAATCAATATATTTATTTATATTAACTCTATTTATTTAAA